CCACCTAGCTTAATAACTCGAATTGAGGGTCTTGTCAATAGACTCATTGTTGATAAACGAGAAAGAACTGCTACTATAAATGTAGACTTAGAAGTGCCTTATTGAAACAAACAGACTAGCAGTCAAAGCCCCAATCGTAATCTCAAGACAACTTGAAAGATTACTTTGTGTGGAGTCCAGTGGGGCCTGCACCTTCTTGTCACTAAATGAGCCATTTAAATGGTGGAAGGAACATTTTCCTGCGAATATGGAATAATTTAGGTGTATTCTTGAGTTGCAGATGTCTTATGTGGAGATCCAAATACATGCTATATTCATGCAAATGTCATAGAAAATTATTCTTTTCATGGCAAATTCCTCATGCTCTTCGCACGACTAGCTCAATGGTTATATTGACATGCATGGCGTTTCTTTGCTAGAACATAATATTACTGGAGGTCACAAATTCTGTGGAATAGTGAGTCAGCTTTATTGGCTGATATTAATTATATGAAGGATGCTTGAAATTACATAGAGAGCAGTGATAATCTATTATTAAACTAATTTAACAAACTCAATCTTCAACATTGTTTGAAATCCTAAAGATTTTATGCCCATCATAAAGGTCAAGGATTGGCCCACCAGGGCCGCGCCATCTGGGGGCTAAGCAAGTAGGTGGCACACTCTGAGGGGGTCGGCCGCGTTCCACGCTGGAGCCACCGGGCTGGGTGGCAGTCTCACTGGTCCGGCGGCAATTGCCCCCCCCCCCTCCCCTGCCGGTCGATCTCTCTCCCTGGTCCGCAGCCACCGTGCGGGCAGCCGGCAGGGCAGGGAGGAAGAGAGGGCCCGGGAGCTCAGCCTGCAGCTCCTCTGGGTCCTTCTTGCGTGAGCACAGAGCGTTGCCATGGTAACTGGCTCTCGCAAGAGTCAACTCTAGCCCTGGAGCTACGGGCTAGAGTACACTCTTAACACTGTGACCACCAGGGATTCCTGGTGAACTCTAGCCCCATTAACACACTGCCCTCACACACACACACCATACACATTCACACATTGCCCCTACACACACACCATACACATTCACACACTGCCCCCCATACACACACACACTGGCCCCACACACACACCATACACATTTACACACATTGCCTCACACACACACATAGACTGCCCACCCATACTCACACAGACTCCCATACACAGACCCCCATACTAACATTGCCACACACATACACAGCCCCCTCATATACTCATTGCCCCACACACCCTACACATTCACACACTACACCCCCCCAGACACACTGAACCTTTCACACACACTGCACCCCTCACACATTGCTCCACTGCTCCTATACCCTACTACAGCCCCATATCCCAGCAGACCCCAGGTAAGTTGTCAAACTGTTCTTAAACGGTTTGACTACTTACTCTGGGAGGGGGTCCGGGCCCTCCGGGCACCATAACCACTACACAGAACAGTAGTGATTATTGTGCATGGATTATTTCTTTAAATAATCTACAAGTACCCCAGTAGCCAGCAAGCCAGCCAGCCCACACAGCCCACTGGCCGGCCAGCCAGCCAGCCAGCCCACAGGCTGGCCAGTAGCCAGCCAGCCAGCCAGCCCACAGGCCACCAGTTAGCCAGCCCACAGGCCAGCCAGTCAGCCCACAGGCCAGCCAGGCAGCCCAAAGGCCAGCCAGGCCAGCAGCCAGCCCTAGGCCAGTAACCAGCCCACAGGCCTACAGCAAGCCACAGGCTTACAGCCAGCAGGCCCACAGCTTGCCAGCCGCAGCCAGCAAGCCACAGCCTGTCAGCCGCATCCAGCAAGCCCACAGCCTGCCAGCAAGCTACAGCCTGTCAGCTGCAGCCAGCAAGCGCACAGCCTCCCAGCAAGCCCACAGACTGCCAGCCAGCAACAGTAATTAAGGTAAGAGGAGCCAACTTGGTCTAGGTATCAGTGAGCTATGTTGTGTTGCTATATTGTGAATAGGAACCAGAGTGTTGGAGAGACCCCCCTCCAGGCCCCATTAAACTCCATTGTAGTCTCTAATAGGGCCTGGAAGAGATTCTTTCTAACACACTCTCTAAAGGACACTGAGATAGCCTCTGCTAGAATGACCCCCCTCCATGGCCCATTAGCCCTCAATTGTGGTCTCTACTGGGGCCTGGAGGCGATTGTTTCCAGCAGAGGCTATCTAATGGACGTTGAGATGGCCTCTGTTAGAAAGACCCCCTTCCAAGCCTATTAGACTCCATTGTAGTCTCTAATGGGGCCAGGAGGGGATTCTTTCTAACACACTCTCTAAAGGACACTGAGATAGCCTCTGCTAGAAAGACCCCCCTCCATGGCCCATTAGCCCTCAATTGTAGTCTCTACTGGGGCCTTGAAGGGACTATTGCACTTTAGTTCCTTGTGTGTAAAGATTGTGTAGGGTGTGGCTGGAGGCGGGGCATGGAGGCGGGACAAGGGTGGTGCTTGCTGCAGAGCATGGGTGGGGCCTGTAAGGGGGCCCTTGATTTATTTTGCCTGGGGGCCCTGAGGGTTCTCAGTCCGCCCCTGTATGAATGCATGCACACGTATGAACGTGTGCACTCCTGAACGAGTGTAACGTGTGGGTAGAGGAAGAAGAGGAGTTCGAGTAGGGGGATACACGATAGCAGGGAGTGAAGTACTAGTAAGATATAAGAAAGAAGGAGCAGAGTACTTGTAAAAAAGGAGAAAGAAGGAGCAGAGTACTTGTAGAATAGAAGAAAGAAGGAGCAGAGTATTTGTAGAATAAGAGAAAGAATGAGCAGAGTATGTGTAGAATAGGAGAAAGAAGGAGCAGAGTATTTGTAGAATAAGAGAAAGAAGGAGCAGAGTATTTGTAGAATAAGAGAAAGAAGGAGCAGAGTATTTGTAGAATAGAGAAAGAAGGAGCAGAGTATTTGTAGAATAGGAGAAAGAAGGAGCAGAGTATTTGTAGAATAAGAGAAAGAAGGAACAGAGTATCTGTAGAAAAAGAGAAAGAAGGAGCAGATTACTTGTAGAATAAGAGAAAAAAGGAGCAGAGTATTTGTAGAATAGGAGAAAGAAGGAGCAGAGTACTTGTAGAATAGGAGAAAGAAGGAACAGAGTACTTGTAGAATAGGAGAAAGAAGGAGCAGAGTATTTGTAGAAAAAGAGAAAGAAGGAGCAGAGTACTTGTAGAATATGAGAAAGAATGAGCAGAGTATTTGTAGAATAAGAGAAAGAAGGAGCAGAGTATTTGTAGAAAAAGAGAAAGAAGGAGCAGATTACTTGTAAAAAAGGAGAAAGAAGGAGCAGAGTATTTGAAGTATATGAGAAAGAATGAGCAGAGTACTTGTAGAATATGAGAAAGAATGAGCAGAGTATTTGTAGAATAAGAGAAAAAATGAGCAGAGTACTTGTAGAATAGATGAAAGAAGGAGCAGAGCACTTGTAGAATAGGAGAAAGAAGGAGCAGAGTATTTGTAGAAAAAGAGAAAGAAGGAGCAGATCACTTGTAGAATAGGAGAAAGAAGGAGCAGAGCACTTGTAGAATAGGAGAAAGAATGAGCAGAGTATTTGTAGAATAGGAGAGAGAAGGGGAAGAGCACTTGTAGAATAGGAGAAAGAAGGAGCAGAGTATTTGTAGAATAGGAGAAAGAAGGAGCAGAGTATTTGTAGAATAAGAGAAAGAAGGAACAGAGTATCTGTAGAAAAAGAGAAAGAAGGAGCAGATCACTTGTAGAATAGGAGAAAGAAGGAGCAGAGCACTTGTAGAATAGGAGAAAGAATGAGCAGAGTATTTGTAGAATAGGAGAGAGAAGGAGCAGAGCACTTGTAGAATAGGAGAAAGAAGGAGTAGAGTACTTGTAGAATATGAGAAAGAATGAGCAGAGTATTTGTAGAATAAGAGAAAGAATGAGCAGAGTATTGTAGAATAGGAGAAAGAAGGAGCAGAGTATAACTTGTAGAAAAGAAAGAAGGAGCAGAGTACTTGTAAAAAAGGAGAAGAAGGAGCAGAGTAGGAGAAAGAAGGAGCAGAGTATTTGAAGTATATGAGAAAGAATGAGCAGAGTACTTGTAGAATATGAGAAAGAATGAGCAGAGTATTTGTAGAATAAGAGAAAAAATGAGCAGAGTACTTGTAGAAAGAGAAAGAAGGAGCAGAGCACTTGTAGAATAGGAGAAAGAAGGAGCAGAGTACTTGTAGAAAAGAGAAAGAAGGAGCAGAGTATTTGTAGAATAGGAGAAAGAAGGAGCAGAGTACTTGTAGAATAGGAGAAAGAAGGAGCAGAGTATTTGTAGAATAGAAAGAAGGAGCAGAGTATTTGAGATAGAAGAAAGAAGGAGCAGAGCACTTGTAGAATAGAGAAAGAAGGAGCAGAGCACTTGTAGAATAGAGAAAGAAGGAGCAGAGTATTTGTAGAATAGAGTATAGGAGAAAGAAGGAGCAGAGTATTTGTAGAATAGGAGAAAGAAGGAGCAGAGCACTTGTAGAATAGGAGAAAGAAGGAGCAGAGCACTTGTAGAATAGAGAAAGAAGGAGCAGAGTATTTGTAGAAAAAGAGAAAGAAGGAGCAGAGCACTTGTAGAATAGGAGAAAGAAGGAGCAGAGTACTTGTAGAATAGGAGAAAGAAGGAGCAGAGTATTTGTAGAAAAAGAGAAAGAAGGAGCAGATCACTTGTAGAATAGGAGAAAGAATGAGCAGAGCACTTGTAGAATAGGAGAAAGAAGGAGCAGAGCACTTGTAGAATAGGAGAAAGAATGAGCAGAGTATTTGTAGAATAAGAGAAAGAATGAGCAGAGTACTTGTAGAATAGGAGAAAGAAGGAGCAGAGTATTTGTAGAAAAAGAGAAAGAAGGAGCAGATCACTTGTAGAATAGGAGAAAGAAGGAGCAGAGTACTTGTAAAAAAGGAGAAAGAAGGAGCAGAGTACTTGTAGAATAGAAGAAAGAAGGAGCAGAGTATTTGTAGAATAAGAGAAAGAATGAGCAGAGTATGTGTAGAATAGGAGAAAGAAGGAGCAGAGTATTTGTAGAATAAGAGAAAGAATTAGCAGAGTATTTGTAGAATAAGAGAAAGAAGGAGCAGAGTATTTGTAGAATAGGAGAAAGAAGGAGCAGAGTATTTGTAGAATAAGAGAAAGAATGAGCAGAGTATTTGTAGAATAAGAGAAAGAAGGAGCAGAGTATTTGTAGAATAGGAGAAAGAATGAGCAGAGTATTTGTAGAATAGGAGAAAGAAGGAGCAGAGTATTTGTAGAATAAGAGAAAGAAGGAACAGAGTATCTGTAGAAAAATTGAAAGAAGGAGCAGATTACTTGTAGAATAAGAGAAAAAAGGAGCAGAGTATTTGTAGAATAGGAGAAAGAAGGAGCAGAGTACTTGTAGAATAGGAGAAGGAAGGAGCAGAGTATTTGTAGAAAAAGAGAAAGAAGGAGCAGAGTACTTGTAGAATATGAGAAAGAATGAGCAGAGTATTTGTAGAATAAGAGAAAGAAGGAGCAGAGTATTTGTAGAAAAAGAGAAAGAAGGAGCAGATTACTTGTAAAAAAGGAGAAAGAAGGAGCAGAGTATTTGAAGTATATGAGAAAGAATGAGCAGAGTACTTGTAGAATATGAGAAAGAATGAGCAGAGTATTTGTAGAATAAGAGAAAGAAGGAGCAGAGTACTTGTAGAATAGGAGAAAGAAGGAGCAGAGCACTTGTAGAATAGGAGAAAGAAGGAGCAGAGTATTTGTATAAAAAGAGAAAGAAGGAGCAGATCACTTGTAGAATAGGAGAAAGAAGGAGCAGAGCACTTGTAGAATAGGAGAAAGAATGAGCAGAGTATTTGTAGAATAGGAGAGAGAAGGAGAAGAGCACTTGTAGAATAGGAGAAAGAAGGAGCAGAGTACTTGTAGAATAGGAGAAAGAAGGAGCAGAGCACTTGTAGAATAGGAGAAAGAAGGAGCAGAGTATTTGTAGAAAAATAGAAAGAAGGAGCAGATCACGTGTAGAATAGGAGAAAGAATGAGCAGAGTATTTGTAGAATAGGAGAGAGAAGGAGCAGAGCACTTGTAGAATAGGAGAAAGAAGGAGCAGAGTACTTGTAGAATATGAGAAAGAATGAGCAGAGTATTTGTAGAATAAGAGAAAGAATGAGCAGAGTACTTGTAGAATAGGAGAAAGAAGGAGCAGAGTATTTGTAGAAAAAGAGAAAGAAGGAGCAGATCACTTGTAGAATAGGAGAAAGAAGGAGCAGAGCACTTGTAGAATAGGAGAAAGAATGAGCAGAGTATTTGTAGAATAGGAGAGAGAAGGGGAAGAGCACTTGTAGAATAGGAGAAAGAAGGAGCAGAGTACTTGTAGAATAGGAGAAAGAAGGATCAGAGCACTTGTAGAATAGGAGAAAGAAGGAGCAGAGTATTTGTAGAAAAAGAGAAAGAAGGAGCAGAGCACTTGTAGAATAGGAGAAAGAAGGAGCAGAGCACTTGTAGAATAGGAGAAAGAAGGAGCAGAGCACTTGTAGAATAGGAGAAAGAATGAGCAGAGTATTTGTAGAATAGGAGAAAGAACAAAAAAAATATAGGAAGGAGAAAGATAGAATTGATGTTGGCTAATAATAATAATAATAATAATAATAATAATAAGTGGGTTACCTAGCTCAGCCGTCCTGCTGGGCATTGCTGTAAGGATGGTAAAAGAAAAGGAGAAAAAAAGTAGGAGATAAATAGAAAAAAGGAAAAAAACAATATAGAGGAGGGGAGCTGATACACAGATGGGAAAGCGGGGACAGGCAGAAGCACAGTATGTAGCGTGACTCATGTTTTGGCAAGCTAATGCTGTCCAGGAAGTAGGAGGGTCTGGGAGGGAGGGTCTGCCGGAGATTGGCAGGGATGTGTCAGCTGACCGGAGTTCGCCGCAAACGGTTCGCCACGAACCGTGGTGAACCGTTCGCGAGAAGTTCGCAGACGGTTCACGACATCACTAATTATGAGCAAACAGAGAAACCGTCTGAATATCACCGAAAGAGGAGACCTCTGTTTGTTCCTTACAAAAATCGAACCAGATATCAAATATTTAGTCTCGCAGCATTAGCCGCAAGGATTTCATTCATCACTAGTTAACGGTAATTTCAATTTACTTTATTGTTTTCTCATTAAACTTTATAAAGTTAAAAACATTATAAACATGCATAGAGTATAAAAAGATAAATTTAAGTACTTTTTTTTTTTTTAAACACCTTTCCTTCTATAAAATATTCTGCACTTGCGCTAAAAAAATAATTGAAAACTGGTGGGCAGTAAGGACATTTTTCCATCAAGAAAGATGCTTTAGTGGGCGGTAGGTATAAAAAGGTTGACTACCCCTGATCTAGATGATCTCGGCGAATCCAATGCTTTCCCATAGGAAAGCAATAGAAGGCTATTGCATATGTGCGGCAAAACTCTGCACTGCACCAATCCGCATCTCCTCATAGAGATGCATTGAATCAATGCATCATAATAAGAAATGCACAACATCGAGACGCTGAACACCAGCAGCACTGACCCAGGAAATACCTCTAGTGGTCATCTGAGTGACTGCCACTAGAGGTCTTACTAGCCTACAAGGCCTTGAATATGTTGAAAAACCTGTATGGAGAGGCTATAAACACCAGAATAGTGTCCCTTTAACCATTATTTTTGGATACACAGCTGTAATAAAGTTCAGATGGTAGAATAATAAGCTATGGTAGTCCCTACATTTAGAAAACAATATCCTGAAAACATCACACAATAAAAAAGTAAAAAAATATAGTCCTGACAGAATTTTGTATAATCCATTTTTTTATTAGAGGTGTGCACAAGGCAAACCTTTATGCATGGAAAAATATGCCTTACAGTCACCTGTTTAGGTCTCTATGGATAACTTTGCAAGGTTTGTGGTTACTTTTTTCTCTCTATGCAGCTACTTGTGTATATTTTTTAAATCAGTATTTTTCTCTGCATGCACACCTTGATACAATGTGCTGCGCCTGCACATGCCTATGTTTATTATGCTACAGAAACAGTTTGACATGTGCATTAAAGATCGAATTCTCTACAAGAGAAATATACAGAGGCAACGAGGGGTCAACTGAGAAAGATGCAGATGTGAAGATGAGGTAAATGATAATCCCAGCGGGATGACAGTCTGGTTGAAGACAGAACAGAATTTTTAATTGTAAATCGAACAAAATAAATTGAGCAACCCATATAACGTATAAGAATAAGGGGGCACATTGTCTCTTTAAGAAAACTACACAGAGAGTTAAAACATGAGATTTACCACACAATAAGAAAGTGGTGTTAACCTATAAATAAATGTATAAATTAAATTTATTTTCTTCTAAATTACCTTATTACATATGAAAGCAGAAAAACAGCATAATATCGTTGGTCAAGTTCTATAATAAAAAGCTAACCTTCCTAAAATTGCACTATTTGCAGACCGGAGTCTCGGTTTAACACTTTAAAACAATCTACAATGATGGTTCACCGAATCACCACTCATATACCGTGCGCCAGTGGCGTACACACAATCCATGGGGTCCCAGTGCGAAACTGCTCCATAGCCACCCCCCTTGCCTCTCTCCCTTTCCCTCCCCTCTCTCCCCACCAACACATACATAGACACAGACACAAAGACACCACCCCGACAGACACATACATACACACATACATACAGACACATACAGACAGACACACACACATACAGAGACACACACATACAGACACATACAGAGACACACACACACAGAGATACATACACACATACATACACACACACATAGAGACACAGACACACACACATACAGAGACACATACATACAGAAACAAACACACATACAGAGATACAGACACACACACATACAGAGACACACATACATACAGACACAGACAAACACACATACAGAGACACAGACACACACATACAGACACACACACACACAGAGACACAGACACACACAGATACATACAGAGACACAGACACACATACAGAGACACAGACACACACACATACAGAGACAGACACACACACATACAGAGACACACACACACATACAGACACACACACACAGAGACACAGACACACACACATACATACAGAGACACAGACACACACAAAACAGACACACACACACACACAGAGGCACACACATATACACACATACAGACACGCACACACATACACAAACTGTTTCCTACCTTTTGTGACTTTCCCTGGGATTCAGTGGGGGCTCAGCCTGATGGGAGTCAGAGTTCCCACTATGACTCCCTCCTCCTTCCTGTTTCCTCCGGCGCGGGCTCTGATAGCTGGGAGGAGTGACCGGGGAGTCACTTCCTCCTAGCCGTGATGTCATCACAGGGGTCCGGTCGCGCTGTTAAAGCGCCCAGCGCTGACCAGGCCCCCTGATAATCCATCCCGCCGGGGCCGCATGTTAAGGGGTCCATCGGGTGGCCCATGCTGTCAGGGCCACCCGATGGACCCCTTAACATGCGGCCCCGGCGGTTTGCCGCACAACCCCTGCAACCGCGGTATGTACGCCACTGCTGTGCACAGCTCTTCAGCTTGATCTCCGCAATATCGACCCCTCTGGCTGGTTGGTCATGTGGTGGCTTCCACCGCTGCACTGTTTGGGGATCTAACCCGCAACGGTGTCTCATTTGTGCCAAAATAGCAAGTACCTCAAGCTATCAGTATTAAGCTATGGTGTCCCGACTGTCCAAACTTGCTACACACAGATAAAATGCATGTTTGGACACAATTTTTTCAAGTAATTGTCACTTTTGTATTGTGTGGTAAATCCTTGGTGCACAGAGTTCATGTTTTTACTCTCTGCTTAATTGTAAATCACTAGTAGTATATTATTACTATTATTTTATTATTTATATAGTGCCATCACATTCCGTAGCGCTGTACAATGGGTGGATATACACAAAATGATCTCGCACACAATCCAGGTACTCCAGGCCCAGTGTTGACAAATCCCAATTCAGCAGATATGACGAAAGTCAGGTCATGGCACACAGGATATTGCAAAAAGCAGAATTATTGGAACAAAGGAACAAGGTTTTGGCCTACACAAAGGCCTTTGTCAAGCTATCACCATTCACCATAATGCACACAACCTCTTTTATAGGGTGTAAACCAAGTCACAAAACTATCAATCATGCAATTACCGAGTGTGTCATTTAGTTGGTTGGAGCTCCATCCCAAGTGTGGTTGGCAAGGCATTAGTCCCTATTTGTAGT